TTAATCCGAGCATACTGAATTCATAGTGTTTTCTTAAGGAATTTAATCCCCTCCTAGTACCAAAGGATGTAGATTATTTCCTCCAAGGATAGAACGAATTACACACTGATGTAGCGGTACTTCAAACCTCAGTATTTCAACGAACACAAAGATCAGTAGCAAATCACACTTACTGTTGCTTTCTTAGTAGTTACAACAATGCAGAAGAAAGGAGGAGAAGTCAGAAATTCGTATGAAAAATCTAAGAAAATGGATTGCTATTTATAGTCAATATGTTGAGCTCAAGTTCAAGAGGTGCATCTTTTCAGAAGGGCTGTTTACGTAAAACGGCCATAATGTAAATGGCTATTTACGCAATAATAAACCGGGAATTCATAACGAGGAGGAAACTTAATTTTCCGTTACAAAAAGGGTAAACTTATACCGTTGAGTTTAATATTAATTTTTCGTTTACAAAAAAATGGATATTTGATATTATAATATGTTAATATTTACTATTAACAAATAAATTTGGTCCAAAAAATTAATCAATCAATCGTTTGATCGAATCCGAATCAGAGCGAGCGAGCGACGACGCGAGACTTGCTTTCTTCTTAACTTTTTAAGAGATGCAAGAAGAGTAATTATATATATACCCATAAAAAACTTTTCCCCCTTCCAATTTAGGACAATGTTCTCATTCATCCTCTTTTAAGCTTATTTTAGCTTTAAAACCTCAACATATATGCTATGTCTTACCAGCAGAGATCCGAGAAGCTCTGCTCACAACTCACAAGACTTAAAACAAATATAAAGAAATCGTCTACTGGTATTTGAACTCTACCATAGTTTTCTCCCACTTTATTGATAGTTAAGCCACACCCTTATATTATGCTTGATCATTCAGTCCTTTGAAGGCATCGTCTGTTGTTTGGCAGTAAGGTGAAAATGAAATGTCTCAACATCATAAAACCTAGCATGTGACCCTGTTGAAGCTCATTATCAACATCATAAGCAAATAAATTCAGAAGCTGACGTACTGTTAATGTCTACCAATATATTTAATTTAAAGGAGAAACATGCAAAGCAGACATGCATTCTCATGAAATAAAAAAGAGCACAACTATTATTCAGTCTTCCGTTCTGGTGACAAGCTTATACTCATAATTTCAGCCTTTCACATGTACAGAGGCCCAGCAGCTGCCTTTGTCTCAGTTAATTTTCCAATATCCTTTGTTAACAAATAAGTTCGAGACAGAGGATTTGAGTTTCGGTTTGATAATACCTAAAAATAAATAGGCATTGATGCATAAACATCTTTCATACCATAAGTAGAAAACAAATGAAGATTCAGGTCAAGAGTATGTAAAAACCCAATCACTAGTGATACTTTGTACTGTTTTAGGACCCCACATGATTTTAAAATGTATCATAGAGTCTAAAACTTGTTTATTTATACACACGACTATCTTTTTCGTATTTTGTCGATGTAAAATTTGTTTATGGAGTGGGTTCTGCCACGAACGAAGAAGAAGAATAGAGAACATAACACCGCGACGAGAAATCGAGAATAATATGCTAACTGAAGGCAAGGACCATCAAACTTATTAACACAACAAATGGCATTTTCAATGTGCAGATAGTGACAAGGCAGGAGTTGAATAAGCATGTGAAGCCATGTTACTCTTGTTTTCAAGACCTCTTGTAAAGATGAAACAAGACGCAGGCTGCTAATACATCTGAATTCAACTCCTATGGCAATTACCCCCTGATTTGTCCTTCCTTCTACGGATTCAGAAAATGTGAACTTTTTTCTAGTGAATGACAGTATAAAGAAACCACACGAAATGCTCATTTATTTTCACATTTTGTTCCACACAGGTACTCCAAGGCAAATGAAATATATATGTACGCATAATATCCAACTAATTAAGTCTAATCAGTTAATTTCCTAATACGGAAAGCCGTTAATAAAGGAATACATAGAGTTGAACATAGTAAAATAAGAAATTAGAAAGTTTTCACTGAAATTGTTAGTTTGAAAATTTCCCATTTTAAAAATTTCAATTCATTTGAAAAACAAATGCACTCTAGCACTTAAACTATACAAGGAGCTTGGGCTTTAAAACCAATCTTCGCAGTCAATTTACTAATTTAAGGAAATTATTGACAGTTTAAATAGTGTTTTAAAAGGTGTGGGCGTAGGCGAAGCGTTTTACATGTTTCAGCNTATATATATGCTCCACCCCCACAAAAAAACTAATCAAAACAATCTATTATACGCTACTTACAAGCACAAGTACCTTGAGTCGAAAAGAATAAAGTTTTCTACACGGAGGAACAAAAAGGATGACAAACCTGCAATTTGAACTTTGAACTTGCTGCTATGAAGAAAAATAAAGTTCTCTTTGTATTTGTAAAATAAATAAATTGAATATTTGTTGCTTTTGAAAAATATTAGCAAACGAGCAGACAAAATAAAAAATTGGGAAATACCATAAATTAGGTCTTCAATTAATAAAAAGGTCTTGACTTTTAAATTTAATACATTTCAGTTCCTTTTTAAAACTTTTGAGTAATTACAAGCTGACAATTCTTAATTTTGGTTTTATGTGATGGACTTATTCAAATAATTTTGTTTTAATTTAAAAAAGTCTCTGGGGCTTAACCCTCACTACAAAAACGCGCCTCAAATGTCCGACGCCTCGAATTGTTGGGCCTACGCCTCTTGAGACTTTCGCCTCATACCATCGCCTCAGGGCATTTTTGGTGCGCCTCGCCCCAGGGCTCGCCCCGAAAATGTAAATATCAGTTGCCCTTTCTTTAGTTTCCAGTGAAGTGTCACACTCTTAAGTACCCATCTAACAAGAAAAGGTATAAATATATTTTTAAAAAAACATCTCTGCTATTTGGACTGTAAAAATTAATGGAGGAACTTGGATTTTTAATTCCTAGAAACATATCACTCATTCTCGGGGCATTTGCATCTATACCCGTTTTTTGTATCACGTTTTAATGTGCCCGCTTTGCAAAAAAAATTGCAAGCGTATCCGCTTTTTCGCATAATTTCAGCATACGGGGCTAAAGTAGCAAAAGCAATCAAGCAGAACTTCAGCATTCTAGTAGCCGGGCCTAAAGTTCAGCTCTAGAGCTGAAGTTTTTGTTTTGTAACTGGCAAACTTCAGCTCTTTTGTTTTGTAACTCGCGATGAAGTTTTTGTTTTGTAACTGACACACTTTAGCTCTAGAGCTGAAGTTTTTGTTTGTAACTGGCGAAGTTTTTGTTTTGTAACTGGGGAACTTCAGCTCTAGAGCTGAAGTTTTTGTTTTTGTAACTAGAGAACTTCAGATCTAGAGTTGAAGTTTTTGTTCTATATTTGATTAACTTCAGCATGTTGTAGGAACCATGCCACGATTGTAAAAGTTAGTTGATCAATCCTTGGTTTACTGCACCGCTAATGATAAAATATGTTTAAATGTGGTTACTATGATCCATATAATTGGTACAGTCTACCCATTCTTATTGTAGCTTTGAGTTGTCTTCTGCGGTCAGATGTTTGTCGCTAAGCCTTAGGCAGTTTCTGATTATATGGCAACTGAGCACTTATGAGTGACTTCAAGCTCCAAAACACAAGTAAAATTTTCTTGCAGTGACAGAATCTTAAAATTTTCGGGCACGTTTAATAATTACCAAGGAAGATAGAATACAGCCAACCACTTCTCAACTTCAAGAGGCCGATTCAAGATTTCAAGTCAGTGGATTGTAGCACCTACTACTCCTTCGTGATGATGGGTACTTTAAAATAATGTTGAAGCCATCGTTGTAGAAGAAAAAAGAAGAAAACGACGGAGAAGGAGGAGGAGAAAGGGGACTGAAGTTGTTTGAAAAGTGGATACAAATTAAAAGTTTTAAAAAAAATGGGTATAGGTTAAATAGGAGCGACCAAATAGGACGCCCCGTGCAACTTTTACCTCATTCTTTCATTGGGGACAAGCTCACGAAGGACAACTCCAAACGTTATGCATCTATCACTAAGATCCTTATGCACGAAGATAACCGATTTAGCCCACAAGATTTCAGCTATAATAATGAAAAAGATTCCTACAGGTACTCATCAATAATATGATGTTCCAAAATGACCGTCACGCTCTCTATTGACTCAAGTTTGAAGCCTTGTGGAATAGCAATAAAGTGGGTTATGGATAATATTTAGTAGTAGGGCTGCTTCTCTTACAGCTAATTATACATTCATAGTGCACACCTGCCGCCAAAACTGAAAAGTTTGTTGACAGTACTACTATTGTTAATTAGTTTACCTTCTTGTATATGACAAATAAATTATAACACTAGAAACAAAAAGCTTCTAAGGGTCGCACTCAAGGCTAAGTACCAGGATAAAGTACAAAATGGGGTAAAAGGTCTCCTAGTTCATTCACTATCAGATAACAGAGAGGAGAAACTCAGCAGCTAAAGAAGTGTTCTACCATTGATTCTAAAGTATTTTGAATGGCTGCTTCTACGAACAAAACTAATGATAGTAATTGAAATGTCATTCTTTACTTTCAATACCAACCAGAAAATATCTATGCATGCTTATTCAACACCACTAGTTAAAAAGAGAACATTATCACATTCAGGCTTCTCTTTGCATAAAGTTGATGGTGCAATGTTAAATGAAAGCGTGTTATAGAAAAATAGAGTCAAAAGGACTTAGCCAAGCGCATAGTATCACATATAGAGCCAAAAGAAACAGCTAATGCACATCACATGCTAGAGAGTTCACCCAGCAAGCCCACACAGATGTGCAGGCATACTTAGCCAGAGGACCACAAACAACAAGGGCATAGCTAATGAAAAATGAACTGTGAAAAGACTATGTTAAAATTGAGGAGACCCGTCACATAACTACCAATGTGAAGAGTATACCTTTGCGTAAAACCTGTCACTGAGGGAGCAATTGCACCGTTCAAGTCTCATGTACATATCCGAGAAAAGCAACCCAGCAAGACTTTAGTCAGGAATTTTTCTTCCATTTTTTTTTGACAAAAGTGTTTAACCATAAAGCCTGATAACATTCTTCTTTACAGTGGGAACCAGACTAACACAACTATCCTAGATGTTACAGAAAATGTCATTAGATGTTATCCAGGACATAGCACACCTGTCCTACACAGCATGAGGAGATAGAAATGAAAGGAGGGAGGGGGTTGGGGTTTAGTAGAAGGGTCAGGTGGAGATTTTAACAAAGATACGTGGGTGGAGAAAAGAAGATAACTTCCGCTACTAAGCTTGTCAACATGTACAAATAGACATCACATGTTCTTTATGTGACAGACAAATCATGTACATACTCTAATCAGAATCCAGTTTGAATGTCTGGGGTAGCTCATCCATCACACTCAACTGCCTCCTCAGCTTAACAATGTGAGCTTGCACCTGACAAATCCAACTTGCAATCAATTAGCTGATAGAAAACTACTAATGCTACAAATGCTGAAATAGCTCAAAAGCGGAGTTTAGAGGAGACTAAATTAGAAGATAGACAAAGATACAATCAAGGTAAGAAGGTTGTTAATGCCAGCTGCAAACCTGTTGACAAAATATCTAATTTCATTCAAAATGAAGCCTTTGAATGTACTTATTTGCATATTGAGGCACTTATAACACACTTATTGCTTGAAATGTTATGAGTTCGTCTATTAGGAATTTGAATCACTGGCACAGTGTAGCTAAAGCTCTGAACCATTACATTATCATGGTGAAACTGGGCTATTTTATCAAGTAGTCATCTGCTTCTCCGATAAACAAAAAGCACTAGGTCTCGTGAGGACCAAAGGCATTCATATGTTTGAAGCTCCCCTTAAAACCCTAATGAAGCAGATATTGATAGTCTAAAGGAGAATAAGGCATTCTCAGGTCTAGACAATGCAGTTTATCCATGTCAAAGGAAAGCTGAATATGTGTTCCTAGCACTGAAAGATACAAGTTAAAGAGCTTATGACTGTGTAGAGAAATTAAAGCATAACGACAAATGTTGACACATAAGTCTCATTCAACCATTCTGTGTTGGAGAATACACTTATGCTTTACTGTGATGACTCAAAAGGCCATCATTTGTTTTAGAACTGAATTCTGCGTTCCGAGGCCTTAAAAACCTGTTTCAGCATCACCTCGATTTGTGTGCACAGTCCGGGCGCGTAGCCGAAAAGCCAATATGTGAAAATCTGTGAAAAATGATGAATTTTGACTTTAAAATGAATTAAGTTGACTTCGGTCAACATTTTGGGTAAACGGACTCGGACCCGTGATTTGATGGTCCCGGAGGGTCCATAGGAAAATAGGGGAATTGGGCGTATGCCTGAAATCGAATTCCGAGGTCCCAAGCCCGAGGAATGAATTTTTAAAGAAAATTGTTTTCTGGAATATGTACGAGTTTTTGAAAGTGAAATGTGTTTAAAGTTTAGTGGTATCGGGCCCGTATTTTGGTTCCGACGCCCGGTACAGGTCTTATATGTGATTTAAGATAAGTCTGTGAAATTTGGTAAGAAACGGACTTGAAATGACGTGAATCGGATTGTATTTGAGAAAATTTGGAAAATTTGAAATTCTTAAGAAATTTCATGATTTTGATGCTAAATTCATAATTGTTGATGTTATTTTAGTGATTTGAATGCACGAGCGAGTCCGTATGATGTTTTTAGGTTGGTGTGCATGTTTGGTTTGGATCCCCGAGGGCTAGGGTGAGTTTTGGATAGGCCACGGGGTGGAATTTGGACTTAGGAAAATTGCAGGTTTTCAGCTGGTATGATTAGGTCTGCAGGCTTCGCAAAATGCGAGAATTCCATCGCAAATGCAAACAAAGACCTGGGCAGGCCTGATCGTAAATGCGACCATTTGGCTTGCAAATGCGGAAGGCCCCAGTCGCAAATGCGACGCCTGCTTCGCAAATGCGAACCCCTCAGAAATAAGGGGTGGTCGCAAATGCGAAAGCCTCAGAATTCTGAAGGGTTCGCAATTGCGAACCCTGGTCGCAATTTCGACATCAGAGACCCGTAAATTCATAACTTAAGACGCATTTCAACCATTTTTCACACTCTTTCAAAACCAAAACACTCTAGGGCGATTTTTCAAAGGCAATTTATTCTCCAAATCAATTGTAAGTCATTTCTAACTTGTTTTCTTCAATCATTAACATCTTTTTCACTTGATTTCAACTCAAAATCAATGATTTTCATGGAGGAAATTGGGTGTTTTGGGTAGAACCTAGGTTTTTCAACAACTGGGGATTTGGACCTCGAATTGAGGTTCGATTTCAAAACAAATTATATACTTGGGTTCGTGGGAGAATAGGTAATCGGGTTTGGTTCGAACCTCGTGTTTTGACCACGTGGATTCGGGAGCGATTTTTGACTTTTGGGTAAAACTTTGAAAAACTTATTTTCATGCATTAGCATTGATTCATTTAGCATTTATTGATGTAATTAAGTAATTTGTGGCTAGATACGAGTGAATTGGTGGTGGAATCAAGAGGTAAAGCGATAGTAGAGACTTGAATTGTGTTCGTGGCATCGAGGTAAGTGTTTGGTCTAACCTTAGCTTGAGGGATTAAGAGTCGTGTCTTATTTGCTACGTGTTAATTGTGGAGTACAACGTATAGGCATGTTGATGAGTATTTATACGTCGGTGTCAAGCATGCACGTGAGTCTTGTATTGTAATTGTTATGACTCCGTTATGGTTTATTGCGCTTCATATGTTATTATCATTATTGTTCCCTTGTCGGGATGTTATTATCATTATTGTTCCCTTGCCGGGATATTATTATCATTATTGTTCCCTTGCCGGGATGTTATTGTCATACTATTGTTCCTCTGTCGGGATGTTTGTTTGATATTATTGATCCCTTGCCGGGACCCTTTTTTTTTATTGGTGTTGACAAAAGAAATGGGAGCGAGTTGCACGCCTGCAACGGTAATATGTGAAATGGGAGCGGGTTGCACGCTTGCAACAAGATATATGAAATGGGAGCGGGTTGCACGCCTGCAACGAGATATATAAAATGGGAGCGGGTTGCACGCCTGCAACAAGATATATGAAGTGGGAGCAGGTTGCACGTCTGCAACGAGATATATATGAAATGGAATCGGGTTGCACGCCTGCAACGAGATATATGAAATGGGATCGGGTTGCACGCCTGCAACAAGATATATGAAATGGGAGCGGGTTGCACGCCTGCAACGAGATATATGAAATGGGATCGGGTTGCACGCCTGCAACAAGATGTGAAATGAGAGTGAATTCTGCATTTGTTTTTCTTATCGTTGTTAGTAATTGGATTTTGGTTTCTTTATATTCCTCTTGATATTCTGTTGTTATCTGTTATTCCCCGAAGCATGTTTTCCCCCTCCCATCTTGAACTGTAACTATCTGCTTTTATATTTCCGATGTATATGATTTAACCGCACAGGTTTATTTGGTAGTCTGGTCCTAGCCTCGTTACTACTTCGCCGAGGTTAGGCTAGGCACTTACCAGCACATGGGGTCGGTTGTGCTAATACTACACTCTGCACTGTGTGCAGATACTGATATCGGAGCGCTTGGACCACAGTGAGGGTGCTATCTTCAATCCACACAGGCGACCCGAGGTAGTCCTGCAGACGTCCGCGAGCCTTGGCGTCACCTCCTATCTTTCCTTTATCCTGTTTCCTTTACTTATTTCAGAAATAGTGTATCTTTTATCTTTCAGACTTTGTATGTATTATTCTTAGACCGTCTGTGAAACTGTGACACCAGTTCTGAGTAGTCGATGTTCAAGCAGTTGTATTGGATACATATTCAGATAGTTCATTGCTTTTCTTCAGCTTATTGTAAATTCTGTTGTCTACACGTTAGTGCTTTGAAATTGTTAAAGAATATAAAAGGGGTAAAAAAGGTAATTGGTTCAAACAGTCGGCTTGCCTAGCTCACATTAGTAGGCGCCATCACGACTCCCGAGGGTGGGAAATCCAGGTCGTGACATTTACATATCATCCAAAAATTGAAAGGTAAATTACAAACTTTATACAGAGATGAAAGTGAACACTCAAGGCGAATTAAAGAATTCCTGTCACCAATAAGTCTACCACCTGAAATAACTATATGTTGCTTCTCAGCTTCAGATACAAGAAATTCCACCTCCAGCTTTATCTCAAGGGAGGAAGAACAACCACACATGATTTCTACTATCTATGAGCATGATGTTTTTCGAACAAAGTTTAGATGTACTGAACGTGTGTGTGTGTGAGTGAGAGAGAGAGAGAGAGAGAGAGTTAAAGTTAAGCTAACCGTCTGACGAGCTGCTGTGAGTTTCAAGAGCTCATCAGCCTCGGAGAAATTGATGAACCACTGACTAAGAGGATGGTTTTTCGTATCAACTCTCTTCAACACGTGCAAATCCTCACTTGGCGCTAAGAAACATAAAGCAGAAATTTACAAACTGAATGGACCAAGTTGCTCCAGCAGCAGAGCCAAACAATCTCAGAAAAGAATGTTTACCCGGAGGAAACTTAAATGTTGCCGAAAGCCGTGGCACAATTACTGCAGGATGGTTCTGGATTCGTGAAAAGAAATCCTCAGGAGGATCAGGGAATACAACCTCATTGTAGGTTTCCACAACAACAGGTTTCTTTGTTGACTGGGGACCAGGCTCATTCTCTGCATATAACTTCAAATGATGATACCTGGGAAAAGAAGAGCAGTGAAAGTATATCCACACTGCCAGCAAACTTTAAAACAAAAAAGAAGCTCATGCACCAAGAGAAGAACTTACAAATCCAACTTCTTTTCGCCAACATCATCATGGAAGTGAAGGGATATTGCAATTTCAAATTCACCCCAACCACATTCTGACAACTCAAAGGGTGGTGATTCTACCACTCTCACGGGATTATTAAAACTTGGATGCAATTGAAAAACTACTTTCTTGATTACCCCACTAAGATCCTCATTTGTTGCTCCACGAACATAAACTGACCACCTATGCGACTGAGTTCTAATTGAAAAAAAAACATATATTATGATTGTCTCAATAAGCATAATACTCTGAGCACATAAATGCACTAAAAAGAATGTCCACTTACTCAGTGGCTTTCCTACCGAGCCAAAACGCAATTGTTCCATAGACTATAGGGACATAAATTTCAACATCTTTCAATCTCTTGCTTGAAGTCTGTATAACACCAGGAATTAATTGAACTATATCTCAAGCTACTAAAGAAGACGGGAAAGTAAAACACAGGTCAATTTGCAAGTCTCAAATATTTCTAGAAATAGACATAGATATCAAGGAAAAGCACCATATAACACTGCGAACTGATCAAACAGATTAATTCATCAATTTCATAAATATAAGCAACAAGAGGAAATATCATAACTTTGAGTTGAAATCCGAATGTATTATAAAAAAACAAAGCTTATAACCCCCAATTTTCGTTTGCAGATAAAAAGTAAAATGAGTAGTACGATACGGTCATTTGCAACAATGCTAAAGATAATAACCTAACACGAGGCATGATCGAACCAACATTCGTACAAAAATAGGAGTAGGAAACATAGGATAAACCACAAAGAAAAGAAAAAGGAAAGATACAGAGAAGGGCTGGTCATAAATTTAGCAAGTAAGAGAAACGTGCCTTCTTTTCAAAATCTTCAGAAAGGTTAGCAATTTTAGTGAGTTGTGGCTTCGGATCAGACTCATTTCCACCTAATTCAGCGTCATTCTGTGCCATGGCAGGCGAGTTGAGAGGCATTTTGCATTCAAAACAACTTAGTTAAGGAAAGTAAGGTTGTTCTGAGTACTAATCGGAGACCGAAAATTGAGAAAAATTGGGGGTTAGGGTTTTGAAATTGAAAAAAAAGAAGGGTTTTAGAGGGAGAGGGGAAATTCGGATTTCAAGCGCTACTAAAATCTGGTGAGTTTGGTGGGGGAATTGCAATCGCATGGGCAAAGTAGTGCGTCCAATTAATTGTTGCATGGAACAATGAATGTTCTAATTCTGGTTTGGCGTCCGTCCAAACCAACCCGCCAAAATGTTTCCATTTTTATAAAAGGAATTAATTAACGAACCCCAGTTGATTTGTGAGGTTAATCTATATATATATTAAAGTAAAAAAGTTATCATATATAATTGACATTATGGTTATGTCAAGTGGCAAGCTAATAAATATCAATAATATATGGTAACTTTATTCTATATTTAACTATTTTAGTTAAATATATATAGAGAGAGAATTTGAATTAAAAGACAATTTTGAATTTATAGATAAAGTTTTAAAATTCAAATTTAAATTAAAAATAAAATTTATCTTTTTATATCATGTTATCATACTTAATTCAGTTAATGATATATGCAATCATGTTAGGAACTTTTGTTATTTTTCTAATTATTTAAATACTACTTCACCTCTAGCCAAAAAAAAAACTACTCCATATAACTATAAAACTCTTTCACATTTAAAACCCTATAAGTATAGTTCTTTGAAACATTATAACTAGATTTGAATAAAAATGAATTTCTTTTAAAATAAATGTAATATATAGCGTACACGTCTATATTTATCCAAATAACAAAAAAGAGTTTATAAAATCAAATAAAGTTTACTTATATATATAATAAAGTAAACATACATGCTGGAGAAAGAAACATCACAAAATCAGTCAATATTAAAAAAAATCTTCTTGAAGAATATTTGTTTGAAGAGTCAATTTTCATAAATGGACATCAAACAAATAACAAAACTTTGGCTCTACAATTGCTATCATTAATTTCAATTTAGCACATTCAAGGAATTGTAGGGTATAGCTGAAACTCCTTCATTTAGCTGTAGTCAAGCCAATATTGCAAGGATATAATATTTTTTTCGTTGAAGAATATTAGTTTTGAATCATTAGATTATGTGAAAGATTTTTTTTGTTTAACAAGAGAAAAATTGGTTTCTAATTGATAGTTTCTATAAGTGTAACAAAGAGTATATAAAAAAAATGCGTATGACGTGAAATATATTTCTTTAAAATGTAAATAAATTATTTCGAAAAAACTCTTTATTTTTTTTTACTTCAAAATAATAAAAAGATACAACATTTTTGAATATTAGTAGAGAGTTTTAAAATTATTATAGTAGAAATTATATCATGGATAAACTCAAAAAACCAAAATCTTATGGAATATTTACATAATATCCGGCCATATTTATTGTTTACTTTTTATAGCTAATATAAATAGATGATATACCGACAACGCACGATTATAAACATATTATATATGGATTATATATAAATTACACGTCATTCAATTTTTAAATTTAAGTGGTCGGGTGAGAACCTATTTAGGCTGATTAGATAAAGCCAAAATAAAAATATGAAATAATTTCAATCTAAGACTAAAAATATAATTGAAGTTCATATGTAGACAATTTTTATTAAAACTCATCCTTTTTTAGTGAAATAAATTAATTTTTTGTAACAAAAGAAATAATGACATAAAAATATGATTNTTATAAGATAAGGATATCTTAGAATATTTTTTTTAATTTACATTATGTGTCGTTTTTAAAAAAATCACTATTACCAACAAACTGATACGATATTCGAATTTGAATTGGAATGCAATTTGAGTAGTTTGCATTGAGGTTAAGTCAAGTATATATGGTGTTGAAAAATAAACTACTTGACAATTTTAAGATAATATATGCAATATTTTATAATAATAATCAACTAATTTAACATTTAATGATTCAAAGAACAAAATTTTTGTATATATAGGGTATTAAAAATTCAAATTCTGGGGCTAGAGATATCAATAAACTTAAAATGGAGTCATACTGAAATAAATCCGGCCAAAGAATCATTTAAATTTTTAGATAGCCGATTAAAGTGAATTTTTAATTAAGAATAATATATTTACTTGCATCATTATAAAGATAATCATTATTATAATATACGTAAAGTTTTAGAAATTGAAATTTCAAAATAGAAATATTTTTTGAAAGATAATATCATACCAAATAAGAGTTCAAGTCGTAGTATAAGAGTCACGTCGTAATCAAAGAATCGTTTATATCGTGTCAACCTTTGTGCTTTGCCATAAATATGAGTTATTATTTCACTTTGTGGCTATTTTTATGTTCCAATGACACCTATATGAATAGTGCAAACATAAAATTATCACTACGAGAATTGAGAAAATGTATGTCTTTTTTCATGTAGTATTTCTTAATTAATATCTGATAATTATCTATAATTGTTTAGAAGGTTTAAATGTTAAGATTATTTACATATAATTCAAATGACTCGGATATTTAACATGGTTAATGTCCAATATCAAAATGGAGTAAAAATAATTCACTAGCTAAAGAATTTTTTTTTATTTTTAGATAGCCAACTAAAATGAGTTTTGAATTAATAATAATATTTTCAATTACATTATTATAAAAATAATTATTATTGAAAAATAAAGTTTTAGAAACTGAAATTTTAAGAAAGAAATATTTTTTAAGAGATATCAACACACCAAATAAAAGTTCAATGTAGTAAAAGAGTTAAGTCTTATCCAAAGAGTCATTCATTGTCTCAATATTTGGTTGTTTTGCCATAAATATGAGTTAATATTTTGCTTCATGACTATTTTTACGATTCAATGACACCGGCAAGAATGGTATCAAAAAAGAAAAATAGAAGAAATGGTTATTTTTTTCATGTAGTTAATATCCAATGATTATCTATATTTACTGAGAAAGTGTAAACTTTAAGATTATTTACATACAATTCAAATAACTTAAATATTTGCATTGATTAATGTTCGCTCATCCGCGCGGGTACTGATACTAGTTTAATTAATTACGATTATCATATTTGGGCTAAGATAATTTCACGAACATTATTCAGTATTTTTAATATTTCTCATTAAATTAATTAATTTAACTCTAACTTTTCCTTCCCTTTTTTGAAGTGCTCCTTCATTCCTAAACAAAATATATATCTATATTCTATTCTATATATTATTAAAAGGAGATGAAAAAGCCCTATCCTTAAGCTAAGTGGCAATCTTAAAATTAGACACATGTAACATATTAACTAATTAACTAATAGAGAACGTTCGTTTGCTGATATTATTACCAGTATTCGATACTGGGTCATTCATAGCATTACTATACCTTCCCTATTCATTACGGGTTGGTTATTTGTCAACACCGATTTAGCTTATGTCATATGGCGTAACCAGAAAAATCTACATATGACTTATTAATTAATTAATTAATAATAATAAATAACTAAATCAAAATATTGGAAGTATTACTATATAATACTTAAAAATATTATTTAATAAATTTAAATCATTTAATAATTTTGATTACTAATTTAAAATAATATAAATATTTATATCAAGATTAAAACATCATACATTGATCTATATTATTTTAAAGGATATAAATGGATAATAATATATTTTTTTCGGTTAAAATGGATAATCTATATCTATATATTATTAAGAGGATAGGAAAAAGCCTTCTCCTTAAGTCAAGTGACAGCTTTAAAATTAGTTACATGTAACATATTAACTAATTAACTACTAGTAACTAATAACTAATTCTACTGTACTAGAAAAATTCACATATAACTTATTTCTTAATTAATTAATAATAAATAAATAAATCAAAATATTGGAAATTTTACTATATAACACTTAAAAAGATTATTAATAAATTTAAATAATTTATTAATTTCGAGTATTAATTTAAAATAATATAAATTTCTATATCAAGATTAAAATATCACACATTGATCTATATTATATTAAATGATATAAATGGATGATATTTTTTTGTGTGCGGTCAAAATGGATAATGATATTAAATAAAGAGGAAAGTTAATGACGGCCCCATAAAAATATGAAATGCTATATATTAGGTAACATAATAGTAATAATAAAACATTCAAAAATATTTAATATTAGAAATACAAGGGAAAGATGATTTGAACTTGAGATTAGATTAAAATTATAGTAAAAACATTCAAATTATGGATAGGACCATCAAATTAAAATTTTACTAGATAAAGAAAAATAACAATTGGATAACAAATTAAAATTATAAGAATACAATCCAAATGTTTCATGTAGGTAAAAGAAAAACATGTTATTCATTACGAAATATGTGTAACGACCCGATCGGTCGTTTTGAGCTTTTGCACTTCGCTCGCCAATTCTCAAGCATGACTTACCTTGTGTGGTGTATTATGACTTATGTAAATCGTTAGTGTTGGGTTTCAGGTTAATCAGAATGAATTTGGACGAACAGTCTCAGTTGAAAGCTTAAAAATTTGAAAGGTTTGACCAAAATTTGACTTATGTGTATTTGATCTCGGATTGAAATTTTTATGATTTGGTTAGCTCCGTTAGGTGATTTGGGACTTAGGAGTGTGATCAGAATGCATTTTGGAAGTCCGTGGAAGGTTTAGGCTTGGATTGGCGAAATTGAGATTTCGGCGCTTTCCGGTTGATAGGTGAGAATTTTGATATAAAGGTCGGAATGAAATTCCGAGAGTTGCAGTAGCTTCGTTGTGTCATTTGGGATGTGTGTGCAAAATTTTAGGTCATTCGGACGAGATTTGATAGACTTTTTGAGCGAAAGCATAATTTAAGAGTTCTTAAGCTTGGATCCTATGTTAAATTGGTGATTGGATGTAGTTGTGAGCATTCTGAAGTTTTGAGCAAGTTTGAACGATGTCATGGGATGTGTTGGTACAATTGGTTTGAAGTTCCGGGAGTTCCGGGTAGGTTCCGGGATGTTTTAGTGCAAAAATCATAGCCGTAGCAGGTCCACAGAGGTTGCAGGCCCCGGAACTCACTCACGCGGTCCGCACAAAAATAAGTGCGCTCGCGGTGAGTGTTGTGCGTACCGCACAAAAGTGGGCGCGGGTGCGGTAGGCATCGCGCGGACCGCACAAAAGTGGGCGCGGCCGCGGTGAAGAACCTTCCCGCTGGTCCTACTTCGAAAGCTCATATCTTTTGATCTATA